CATTGCGACCAAAACTTAAATAAATTATAATGAATTTCGACCCTTGTGATGTTCATAGTGAACAATGTAATCCAATACATTCGTTGTAATACACGCGTATGTGTATACAGCCCCAGGAATCTCATCCAATATTACTTTTGCTATTAAACCACCACCGAACTCAAAGATCAATACCAATGTGCGGCATTTACATAGTGTACTCCGTAATAATATTATACCAGTATAGGAATGTTTTTTTTTTTTATATATAAATTTTATTAAAAGTTATTCACGCACGTTTTTTGAAAAAAAATTTCTCGAAAATAAATGTATTGTAATGCACGTTTTCTTGTCGGAGAAGTAAAATCGCCGTACAAGCATGTATTCAATTCGGATTTTACATTCGATACTCTACCCGTCGTTATTTGTTCTCAATCGAAATTACTCGTGCGGGGGTTGCAATTGGAGGATTAAAAATGGAGACGTAGTACGAGTAAGAGAATGAAAGAGAACGTGATAAACACAAGAAACCTAGATGCAATTTTGTCATAATGAAATGTCCACGTACACTTTGAAGTTATAATTTAAATATACACTGAATAAGAAAAAAAATGTAGCCGTCGTCGATATCATCGACTGATTTATCGACGTGCCGTGTATAAACGAAAGCATTGAAGTGTTTTGTATTAAAAAAAAAGTCAAATCGGTCTTTTATTGTTTTACTGCATTGAATCGTTTTTAATAATATACTGCAGGGATTTGTTTCGAGTCATTATCCGATTCCCTGTGTTTACACGATAATACAAAGCATCCAGATTTAACGGCAATCCGCCATTGCCACCAAGGCATTTCGTTTTACGTTGATGAACGAAGCTCAATGGTTGTAGGTACTTGCGATTTCGTTCCGAGTTGAATTTTTTTTAAAATAAAAGTACTAAATCAATATAAAAACACAAAACATTTGAAACGATTTATAGCTTTTATTTTCCTCATTCTCATATATGTTCTCATAAATTCTTATGAAGTCATAACAGCAAAAAATAAAAATAACGATAGCTATATTATGAACTGGTGAATTCAAAGAAATTGAGAAGGAGGAAAGTATTATTGTAGATACTAAACTCTATGAAATCCTCACGTTGATCATTTATTGTACCACTGCTTATTATTATATAACTAGGAGAGTATTTATTAACGTCATCGTTTTTATGAAAAAATTTTCAACTTAAATTTTGATTACAAAATTAGTTTTGATAAACAGTGGATAAGCACTCTATTATGTTGAAAATATTATTATTATTATTCGTATTATTCGTATATAATGTATTGTTGTAGAAAAATATATATACGAAGTACGATTTAATCGTGTTGAACAATTGACATTGCAATAGAATTCTATGCATACTTGTATTGGGTTGGATGATTATAACTTGTATGTCCTCTCTGATAACTTAAACGTTATAGCACTTTCTGATTAATAGTATATAATAATAATACATAGTGATTAATGTTTACTTTAATAGCGGGATCACTATAACAATAATATCAATAAACTTATACAACGAGTTCATTAAATAATTGATTTCGAATAACATATTTGCAAGTGTTAGTGACAAAACTCTTCTGTATGTATAAATCGTTTCGAGTAAATTACAGTAAAATCGAATTGGTACTTTTTCGAATACATTATTCAATCGGATATACCACGACTCATTTACAATGTACATTAAATACATCCCTACAGTCATTATTATCGAAATAATTTGTTCGTACCACGATAATATTTCGAATTGCTAATTTCAAATTATTATTCATTTTCTATAATAATCTTTCGTTATTACATTATTATTTCCACCGTGTAGCTCTAAATATTAAACAGCATTAGTGACACAATATTGCTCATATATTTATTTTAATTATAATGATTATACAGAAAATTAAATCGTATTAATTGATGTTTACTCGATCTGTGGAATAACAAGGAGTTAGTAATAATAGTCAAGGAGTTTGATGGCTACTTTGGGGTCTGGTATGGCTGGACAGATTTCAGAGATTTGGATGGATTAAAGTTGATGCGAGATTGTTTTGGTATTTTCTACTGACAAAATAGACGTATTTGATTGAAAAATAAACTTTATACGTCTTACACATGGATGGTTCGTTTTTTTTTTTTTTTGTGGAGACTATATATGCAAGTCGTATTATTCATTTTCTGTCCTAGCTGCTTACTCTTTTTCGGAATTTTTTTTTTTTTTTACTCACTTATTATTTATTTGATTATTGTTTTAGATAAATATCAAAAAAATCATACGTTATTCAATAATATTATTATGCACACGTTAATTTATTGTAATTTACTTTAAAGTTATTAAATTAATAAAATGTGTTTTGATAAATCTTACCTAAATATGTATGTTTTCATATAAATTATTTAATATTTCTCAACAATAATTGTTTCAACAGCTTATTTTATATCGTCGATACACTTTTAATAGTTATGTTTTCTGTTATTACAGATTAGCAGAGGATGGATATTGGGCCCAGAATTGTGTGACATGTGGACTTCGAGTGATGTGTTGTGCTGCACTGCTTCGATACTTCATCTCGTCGCTATAGCTGTTGATAGGTAATGTACACGATAGTACTGTTTTATTCTTTTTTTTTTTTAGCTATAAACAGATACAATTTTATTAGAATTAAGTTTAAAATTCATTAGTCATACATAAGTAATTTTAATTAGTATATTAAGAATACAACTTGTAGATACTTATAAGTAATTTATAGGGCTATAATTATAACTTGGTTGATACAAAGATAAGCGTTTTTAGCCTATATTTTGATAATAATAATAATAATAATTCAGAATATAACGAATATTTATTAATATTCCATCGTTCAGAGGATTATGATATGGCAAAAAATATGTATAAGTACAGAAAATAAGTTTACAATAAAGTGAATAGGAAACAGAATCCAAGGACAAATAATATAAGACGGTAGATAATACAATGAAAGTACTCGAAAGAGGTTCTTAACTTCAATGAAAAAGGTCGACTAAAGAATACACCGTATATATATATATATATATATATATAAGAGAAAAAAACTTAAATTAATTGTATTTAACGTTTATTACGTCGTAGACAATTTAGAAAAATTATAAAAATGATTACAATGACTGTGTGTTATACAACTACACTATTACAAACTTAGATAAAAACAGATAAGATCAATTTAGTTGTATTTCGAAAGATTTAAAAACGATTCACGTATCAAACAGGCATATAAATGTATTGGTCGATTTGGTATTCTATGGACATAGTTCTCGACCGGACTATAAAGGGCGTGGTTGAGCGATTTTAGCTTGATGAAAATTACTTTTAAAGCAATTCTTTCTAATAGTCCGGGGGACACTATTTTATATGGGTGGTTCTTTTTTTTTTTAAAAAAAAAAAAAACGTTATTTGCAAAGCGAAAATAGCCGTAGGATATTATTATAGTCAATATAAAAATACGGCAATAATTGAAATACTGCAAAAAAAATGTAACATCAATAAATTGGTGAATGATAAATTCGATTCTAATACCTCATAATACAGATAAATTGGCTTTGAACTTTTCAATTTTAACGATTCGATAAATAACCTTTTTTGAATATTATCTGAGAAAAATAATATTGCGCAGTAATACCTACGTGAACTCTTCGACCAACATCAAATAATGTAAGAGTATAATAGTAATGTAACAATTTTGTACATTTATGTCTAACCGTTTTGTTTATTCAAAAGAAACACTGTAATACTTGTTATATAAATCTAATCGAATTTTATAACAAAATAAAATTTAAATAAGAAATAATGTTGATTACCTCCCCTTTAGTTGGTTCGATTATTAAACAACACGATGAAATAAAATAAAATGTAGAAGACATTATTCTTTTTTACTTTTTTTTTTATGGAGAAATAATGTATTGAAATGTAACTCAACTTAAAATCATATTGCAACCATAAATCATATAAGTGATGTAAACAAATTCAATATTTTACTAAAAATCAATGACTTATTAATTATTAACTTTAATTGTTATTTGAAATTCCATAATAAATTAAATTTATATTAGAATAATTAATAACATTCCATTTGTAACGAAACTGATTACATTTATACATATAAGTAATATTACATTATTAAATAATACTGGAAATTTTGATTCATGTGTTATTAAATGGCATCTAAATTAAAAATGTTCAACTTCAGGCTTTTACATTCTGTCATTTGCAACGATGCTGATTAACGAAAGTCAACAATAACAACGTTAAAAGATTTAAAATTAATACATTTTGATTAGTTATTTTAAAACTGTTACAAATAACACTAGTCACCGCAGATCGGGATTTAAACAAAAACAAAATTAACATATATATTTTTTCCCCTTGTAAAAGGGGATCAGAGTATATCCACGGTTTCTCAGCCAGTCGTAAGAGGAAACTAAATGAAGTTGCGTCAGGTAGACAGTCAATATAAAAATGTTGTCAAAGAGTACGAGGAATCCGAATTAAAACTTAGACGGTTTGTCCCATCTAGAACGTGCACAGGGATGACAAGTGAAAGGAGAAAGGAAGTATCATAGTTAGAGGTGGAGGAGGCCTAGATGACGAAGTATTATAATACCAGATGGAAAGCCAGTGTGGTAATTGTTTCACCTGTTATGTGTTCAGGTAAACCCAACACGAGTAATGTCAATGGTGTAGGGATATCACCATTGAATCTCGGGTTAAATTTGCGTCAAGGTATGAGAGATAGATATAAAGTGAGAATAAGCACATATGATGATGGAATATTAACAGGCAAAAGTAAAGAATTAGCGGATTTATTGAAGTGAAATGTATGTGCTGATGATATAGTTTTGGTAGGAGAAAATGTGGAAGAAGTGAATATTAGGTTGGATGAATGTAGGTTTTAGACTGATGATTTGATGACGTTGATAACGATGGTGGTATACAATGTTAATGGTAAAAGTTACTTTGACGGTGACAGTGACCTCAAAACAATCGGTAATTGACAGTGAAGGTAACAACTACAAATTAAAACATAAAACGGTTTTTATGATTATGGAACACTCACCGAACTAGCGAGCAAAAGCACATGGATTTTCACGGTACAATCGTAATCGTGTAAAATTAAGAAAAATTGGACGACTACGCGATCTTATCATTAATGCAATTCAGCACTCATCTCGTGTGTGGCTACAACACGTCATCAAGCATAACTTATAAAATATACGAATTTGAATAAGTATATTTTAATAGAACGTCCCAATTTCTATATTCGTGTATTGAAAAATAATCTATATACATTTTAATAATTAGATTGATGAATCTTATTACTAAAATTTGCTAATTCATTTTTAATACCCACACGTTCGTGTATGTACTTAATGGTAAAAAAATAAAGAAATACAATAAATATGAAATAAATCTTTTTCCCGTAATTATGATTAGATTAGTTTACCGTACGTGCATTGTAAATATTAAAAAAAAATTGATTTGTATTCTATCTACTCAGTTTAAAATTTCACTTAATTTTTATCTTCATTCACTATTATCCCATATACCACCACTTACTATATCTAGTCAATGAGCCCTTAAGACGTCAATTATTTAATGCTGATGCGAATCTTGTTTTGCGATTAATTTAATTAAACTATTATTTTTTGTGTTTTTTTTACTAATCGTTTTAATTTACCGTGCGTTTGTATATTCTCCATTATTGTTAATTATGTACTTTTATCTTTAAAAGCGTTTAGCTGGTATAAATAAATAAAATAAAACATAAACTATATTTTTTATACTATATATATATATATATATTACGATCGATAATCTTACATTGAAATACTATCTTAAGTCAAATGCTTTATGCTCAACTATATAGATGATTTATCATTTGACACACGTATATAATACCGTACTTGTGTTAGTACACTTAAAATTGTGAAGTTTCTTAAAAGAACCTTTTGAAAGTTTATAGTAACATCACATTGTCTTAAAATTCAACACAGAGGAGTTTACTACAGACATTTTCTGCGCTTGGCAGGTCATAAATCAGATATGTCCGTTCAACTAGATATAAGGATATAATTTAGATATGATACACTTATATAAGTAGTAATTTTGACCAAAAATCTAAAATTTTACACTCCAGTTTTTTATATGGTGTTTACGACGGAAAAATTGATTTTCTCTTGACGGCTAGCGAAACGTTTTAATGATACCATGCCAATGTAGTGAACGATGATGCTCACATTATATTTTTCCCAAATCACAGATATAATGTATACGATATAATGTACTCGAAAAACAAAATATATCGAAATGCATTATTTTTGTTGTTTAGACTTCAAGCTTATAATTTTAATAACGTTTTTTTGTTCCTTTTTCTAAACGGTACAATACACAAAACATTGTATCAAAAATCGTCATGTTTCAAAAACTAATATAAGTGTTTTATTAACTGTATTAATATTTTAAGTCTTATACAGAATACATTTAAAGATACAGGCGCAGTGCAATTATTGATACAGAACTTTTATATGGTTCTATTCCACTTGTTGACCATGAATATTACTATATGATCGGTTAATCCGTAAACATGTATCAAATTATAATGTACACGAAGCGTTGGCTCGGAAAAATATAACCTTCTATTCAAATATGAGACTTTAAAAATGCGATTCTCGTCGAAAAATAATCATAGTCTATGTTGTATCGTATGTTCGCACATATTTATAAAAAAATATGAATAAAACTTATAAGATGTATGATAAAAATTCCATACTAGTGCGCTTAAAGACCAAATAATTAAAATGTTGCAATTTCGCTGGATCATCGAATTTGTTTCATTTAAACTGTGTACCATCCAGTCTATATTGCAATAACAATATTATAACTATTCAATATAAAACACAGTGGTGTTAAAACTTGTCGCAAAGAATTTAACAAGTGTATTAATAAATAGGTATTTAAACTACTAAGTTTCCGTTTAAGATTAGAATAATTTAATTTAAGTTATATTACAGCATACGTGATAGCTTAATAAACTTCTTCCTAATTAAAAAAATGTAGTTCTTGCACAACCGTTTTTGCCTTAAGTGGTTTTCGATATACTCATATATATATATATATATATATATATATAAAATATTATAATATATATGTATATATCATACAATTTTTTAAAAAAAAATCTCATTTTCTTCAATAATTTTATCACTCATAAAATTTATCTTTAAAATTCGAAAGTTTTATATTACCGATGCATATTTAAACGATATTAAAAATAAACTTCAGTAAAAGGCCGCTATACTACATAAACAACGAGCGTCTTATGTGTTTATGGATATATTTTAAAATACTCAGTATTATGTAATTTATGTATAGTGGTCAATATTATTTTTTCAAACCACTTGTTTGTTCCTATTAAAAATAATATTTTATGATTCAGCTTAAGGTGAAGTTTTTTTTATACAATATCGTATTATGCGTAATTATGGGCATACTATTATCTAATTATTGTTATAGCAAGAATTTGAATTTAAACTATATTTTTTAACCAAATAAACTAACG